ATGTGAAAACACGTCCGGCCATCATGCTTGTCAGGCCCCGCCCCCCGCTCATTTCTTGGAGATTACGTTTCCATGATCAGCATTCTGGGAAAGTCCTGGTGTGATTTTAGGATTCACCATGGCTGGTTTTCTGAAGTTCCTGATTCCTGTTGTCCCAGACTTGGATAGTTTCACACTTGTTGACCTCTGGTACTAATGACAGTTAGTTATTCTGTAACTGGGTCTAGACTAAATTCACTTCCCATCCTTTCCATTAAATGTGTTATTGATTTTTTACAAAGAATACACAAAGGGTTTCAAATACAGAAGCACGAATCAGAGCCATATTAATAGCAAGTCAGAGTACCGTAGTCTCATAATACAGAACATTACACGTTAACCCATGTCATGCTCCAAAAAATGAATGGGGTGAAAAAAAGGAGGGTGAGAGGAGGAAGTTAGGAGGAGGAGAGGCTATCTCAGGTTACCTGTAGCCAACTCCTTATACAAGCGACAGTCTTGATGCCGTTAATGATCCAAATCTCACTAAGCGTCATACTTGCTTCAATTTTGATGCCGTTAATATTCTAAGCTCCACTCTGTAACGGCTACCCAGGTAGTAGGAGGGTATCAGCCGTTGGAGATGTCCTTTTCTTCCCGGCAAGTCGCTGTATAGTAATGGATTCGCTTATTCCCATCCACTGGATCCAAGGCAGGAGTCAGGTAGAGCTCTTAAAAGAGCTAAGTGATTATGCTGCATATTGTGCACCAAATACTGGCGAGATGGCACCGTGTAGAAAAGTCCACACAGTGTCTGGGAGTTAAAATGGCCGCCATCCATTGTTCTCACCATGTGCTTCTAATACATGAAATGGTGGCCACCCAGTAACTCCACAGTATGTCCCCAGATGGTTCTTAAAGGGCCAGCAGCAGCACAACACAAATCCATTATGCCCAAATCATGTCTTTAAAGGGCAATACATCCCAGGGGCCATAGTCACATGGCAGGAAGCTGGCAATCAGTCTTCTCCAATGCCCAGTGGCGAGATCGGTTTCGTCACATTTCTCCCCTTTCCCAAAATGACTAACAAGGTATCTGACCTCCTGTCGGTCAGTGCCTTGGTTAGTCCAGCAACCCACCCATAAAACATAATCAACAGAGTGGCCCACCCACAAGAATTGGTTACTGCATGTCCAGGGGCTCCACCACGGCTCTGGGGGGTACTAGCCTTCCAGATCAGTGGGTTGCTGAGTAGGCAGAGACCAGCGGTACTCTGCCCTGGTGCCAGCGCTACCACGGGAGTAGCCTGGTTGGAGCCCAGCTGAGGAGAAGGGTTAGTAGGCTCCTCCCGCTGGACCTGGTGTTGCTGCTGGAGCGGAAGACAGGCTGTCCCCCCTTTGGATATACAGCCCTGCTGCTGGGGGACAGGACCGACCGCCCCTACCCCCGTGGTTTGGGCACAGAGACCACGGTCCCATCGGCACCGGTGTGGGGCTTATCATCTCCCCTTGGTGGGCTAGGCTGCCGCTGTGGAGGGGGAACGAGACTCTCCCCTCCCAGTAGAATTCTCTGCCGCTGGGGAGCAGGACCGACTGTCCGTACTCCCCGTAGCTTGGGCGCAGAGACCCATCTGCGCTGGTGGGGGGCTTAGTGTCTCCCCTTGGTGGGCTACGCTGCCGCTGGGGAGAGGGGGTAACAAGCTCCCTAATGTTAGTTCTGTGCTAAAATGATACCTACCGGCAGCACGCACTGCGCACAGCCGCTGGGAAGAGGGGTAACAGGCTCCTCTCCCTGACACTCTCTCTGCTGGTGGAGAGGGGGACCGACTGTCTCCCCTTTCAATATATTGTCCTGCTGCTGGAAAGCGAGGCCGACTGTCTCATCTGTCCCAACTGGGAGAATAAGTCTACCCTTTGTGAAATAAGCTGCCACTGGGGAGGAAGGACGGCACCTGCGGCTCCCTGTGATACATACTGCTGCTGGGGAGGAAGGACAGCACCTTCAGCTCCCTGTGATACATACTGCCGCTGGGGATCTGGGCCGACCGCCCAGCATCCCTGTAGGGCCGGTAAAGAGACCGCCGTCCCATCTTCACCTGCCATCTGTGGGTCTTCCCAGGACCAGTCTGTGAGGTCCCTCAACATTTGCGAGTAAGGACCACCTACTTCCGCACCTGGCAACTCCGGCTGCTGCTGGGGATCTGGGCCGGCTGCCCAGCATCCCGGTGGCCCGGTGGAGAGACCTCGGTCCCATCTCCACCTGCCTGTTGTGGTTCCTCACAGGACCAGTCTATGAGGACCCATACTTCGGGTTCCTCCGGCCGCCTCAGGGGGAGACGGCTAACCTCCTCGGATGCAGCCTCTACTCGGCTGCTGTAACACTCCTTCCACTGAGCATACTCTCTCTCTTTTGCCAGCCGGAATTCTTGGTCCAGCCTTGTGTTTCACTCGGCCGTGACCTGGTTCCAGATCACCCAGCGTATCTCCATGGGTACATCATCCCCATACTGGGCCACTCGCTGCCTCACCTCGGCCAGCCAATCATCTTCAGAGCCAGAGCCTTCCATACCTGTCTGCTCCCAGTCGCTGGATACCTCTGCTCCCAGGGGCGCTGCACGAGTGTTAGCGTTGCCCACAATTTGTAACTCCACGAACGGTGTCTCTGAGCTGCTTTACCTCGCACTAGGACGCCATCCCACCGCTTGCCACCAATGTGACGGACCGCTGGCACTCCGACCGAGTACCTCTGCCAATCGATGCTCCTAGTGCTCGCCGAGGACTCCAACCGACACCATGAGCACTGCAGACCCCACTTCCAGCGATGCACAGGACAATGAGTCTGAGCAGGACAGACCATGACATAGGTATGGAACTGTCAGCCTGCTCACGTAACTCCTGTGCACCCAAAACATGTGTGTGCATTGGCATTGTGATGCTGCACCAAAGTAGCAGTCCACGTCAAAATGGACCTGAGTCATCAAACTTAAATCTGTATGGTGTCAACACTGACACGGCTTTTGTACGGCTTGGAACATGGATCAGTCTTGGTGCCAACTTCGATGCAACCAAGCTTGACAACACTTTTCAAGGGAGTATTTCATGGAGTGTGTAACAAATTGAAGAGCCTGATCTGCATTTATGGGGATTTTACTATACAACAGTTCGGGACCACACGCTCTCTGGGCAAAGTTCCTGTTACGCTCTCTGGGCAAAGAGAGGTTCACCCACTGGAAGCTGGATCCTGGCCTTGGGTCCAGGGTGGATGGAGACGGTTGGTACGCTAAAGTCAGGTAGGTGACGAGTACCAACAGAAAACCATCTTATAACAACTTTCCTGTAGGAATGTGCATATAGTAATTGCAGATACATTTTCAAACAGTGGACCCATATTCAGGGTCGAGAGATATGTGCCAAGCAGCCTCCCACATAAAAGTATAACGGAGGGGTGCCAAACTAATCTTATTATTTTTTTTATTTTTTTTGATTGGGTTTCTAAAATTATAGATCAGGGTGGTGCAGTAGACATTGCTTACCTAGATTTCAGTAAGGCTTTTGACACTGTTGCACATAGAAGGCTTATCAATAAACTGCAACCTTTAAGTTTGTATTCAAATATTGTTGAATGGGTAAGGCAGTGGCTGAGCGACAGGCAACAGAGGGTTGTAGTTAATGGAATATATTCGAAGCTTGGACTTGTCACCAGTAGGGTACCTCAGGGATCTGTACTTGTACCCATTCTCTTTAATATTTTTATTAGTGATATTGCAGAAGGTCTTGATGGTAAGGTATGTCTTTTTGCTGATGATACTAAGATATGTAACAGGGTTGATGTTCCAGGAGGGATAAGACAAATGACAAATGATTTAGGTAAACTAGAAAAATGGTCAGAATTGTGGCAACTGACATTTAATGTGGATAAGTGCAAGATAATGCATCTTGGACGTAAAAACCCAAGGGCAGAGTACAGAATATTTGATAGAGTCCTAACCTCAACATATGAGGAAAGGGATTTAGGGGTGATTATTTCTGATGACTTAAAGGTAGGCAGACAATGTAATAGAGCAGCAGGAAATGCTAGCAGAATGCTTGGTTGTATAGGGAGAGGTATTAGCAGTAGAAAGAGGGAAGTGCTCAGGCCATTGTACAGAACACTGGTGAGACCTCACTTGGAGTATTGTACACAGTACTGGAGACCATATCTTCAGAAGGATATTGACACCTTAGAGAGGGTTCAGAGAAGGGCTACTAAACTGGTTCATGGATTGCGGGATAAAACTTACCAGGAAAGGTTAAAGGATCTTAACATGTATAACTTGGAGGAAAGACGAGACAGGGGGGATATGATAGAAACATTTAAATACATAAAGGGAATCAACACAGTAAAGGAGGAGACTATATTTAAAAGAAGAAAAACTACCACAACAAGAGGACATAGTCTTAAATTAGAGGGACAAAGGTTTAAAAATAATATCAGGAAGTATTACTTTACTGAGAGGGTAGTGGATGCATGGAATAGCCTTCCAGCTGAAGTGGTAGAGGTTAACACAGTAAAGGAGTTTAAGCATGCGTGGGATAGGCATAAGGCTATCCTAACTATAAGATAAGGCCAGGGAGTAATGAAAGTATTTAGAAAATTGGGCAGACTAGATGGGCCGAATGGTTCTTATCTGCCGTCACATTCTATGTTTCTATGTATGTATTTTTAATGTATATTGGAATAAATTCTCTTTTTAAAATAAGGGTGGGCTCCATCCTGGGATGACCACCTTAGTCACATTTTAGTCAACTCTTCCTTAGCTATTAAGTTTTAACACAAATCTGTTTGTACAGTCAGCTATTAATATACAATTTAAAATTGCATTTTAGGTCATTGTGTGAGGTAAAAACGGCTTTAGTCGGTGGGGCGTGGCCTGACTGTCAACCTGCATGGCCGCATATTCTGAGAGCTCCCGCTCATCCACTTCGCATCCAGTACTTATCAGCAGCATCAGAACGCACAAACCCACATGAATCAACACACCATGTCTCCGTGGGTTCTGGCGCAAAACCAGCGTGTAAAGAGAGAGGAGAAGGAAGAGATACAAACCAGGCTGCACAAGATGGCTGCCGACCGAGCCCGCGTGGCTCCTTCTCACCCGTCTCCACAGCAGACAGCGATATACCCGAAGTGCAGGCAGGGGAAGCCTCCCAAATACTTACCAAGTTACTGGAGGTTAGAAACTACCTAGCCAGTGAGATAGCATGAAGTTTGCAAAAGGTCAAGGCCGAAATACAAGCCCTGGGGATGCGCAGGCCGAAATACCAGCCCTGGGGATGCGCACAGCGGAATTGGAACACAGGGTCAACACCACAGTATCCAACTTGCACTCCATGGACAGACAGCTTGGAGACCTTGAAATGCTGGTGGAAGACCAGGCAAACAGGTCCTGGCGCAACAATCTGCGAATACGAGGTCTGCCCGAGGCGCCCAATGAAGGCTCCCTGGTGGACAAGATGGCACACTATTTTAAACACCTTTTACCAGACATCCCCGAAGAAAAATGGGTAATCGATAGGGCACACTGCACGCCCAAAGAGCAGAGGGATCCCTGCCACTGGATATTATAATACGCTTCCACTTTTTCTCCACAAAAGAAGCAATCTTGCTAAAATGAGATAATGAGATGACCTATCAAGATGCCAACATATCGGTTTATCAGAACTTATTTCCGTCCACCCTGCAGAGACGCCATGAATTGAGGCCCATCACAGAGCAACTACGAAAGAGGGACATTCGTTATACCTGGGGCCACCCTTTTAAACTAGTGGCCTTCAAGGACTAAAAAAACATAACTCTACTGCTGGGAGAAGACACAACCCAATTCTTCTCCAAGCTAGGCATGGACCTTACAACGGAGTTGATCCTGCCTAAGCCATCCCGCCCTGCACTTCCCACTCTCCCAAGAGACAGCGGCATACTTGAGAGATGCTGGCAGCATGTACTCCCGAACTGTCAGAATTCTCCATGAGTACTATGCAGCTAAGTGTCTTGTGCAGGGGGAAAACAAACAGGCAACACAGGGTTAAATATGTTTAGAATATGGTTAACGGTTTATTCTTTGTGTAACCTAAGCCGGGGGGGGGGGGAGGAGGAAGGGAAGTGGGAGGAGGTTGGTGTGGGACAATGGGAATATGTATAAACTGAAACGGCTTAATGTATTTATGCATCCATCAGCTGATTGGGGGGGCTCATATTGACACCCCAGAGGCTCGCAGTATCGCTACTGAACCACCCACTCACAGGGAGATGGGAAGGGAATGGAAGCCGGGAAGTCCTGTAGGGGTAACTCCCTTTGAGAATGCGCAGTGGGCACACAACCCTCCCACCAGCCCGCCCCGCGTCCTAGCACAAGCGGACAAGCCCAGGATCCCTCTATAAACTGATTACCAACGGTATACAGCTACTCCCAAAATAAAGGTTAATAGCAGCTCAAGACATGGGGACACGGGGGTGCCCCAGGCGGGACGACCCAGTCCTTGCAGCAACGTGGTCCATCATGTACCCATCAGACCACTCAATCACTGGGCTGAGGTGGGGGTAAGACGGGGGAAACCAGAGATGGCCACATCCTACCACGCCTCACAACGGACGCTCATGCCTTCTCCGTCCCCGCCAAGGCCTAATTAATATAATTTCATGTTGTGTATATAGTTGCCTTATTAATTTTTAGTTACCAATACACCTCGGACAATAACACATACTCCCATGCAGTTTAAGGGGGGGCACCGACACAGAACTACCCAAATCAGAGGTCGATCCAAGTGCCCACACACTGTAGACCTGGGTGGTCTGCGGCGTACCCTGCACACACCACAAGCGGCCACAACCCTTCCCGGCATGCCACGGGACTGCACCACCCGGGCCCCTCACTCAGCAGATGGTCAGTTTCTAACTAACTTTCCACCCAGACCCACGGAGTGAAAGAGCTACCCCAGTCCATGAACACAGGTAATAACGAACTCGGCATGAATCTGAGGATATGATAAACGACCCCACCCGGCAACCCAGCCCATAATGAGATGGTGTGTGTGGCGGACACCACGATGGGAAGAGGGGTTTTGCCGCCAGAGATGTTCTTTTCCCCCCAGTGTGAGTAGGCGGGGGCAATAATCCAAGAAATGATAATCCCAAAAGCAGTGATATAGCTGTTCCCTACAAGCACAAGATGAGGCTCTGTGTTGAGGGTAAACTGGAAGTGCTTTAATGGGGACCACACAGGGCCTTTTATGTGAATCCCCATGCAAGGGGATTTCTGTAACATATTCCAGGGACATTCCCTATTGGACCTGAAAGTAGACTACTGTAAAACACACAAATAATTAGATTAACTCTCAGGTCCAGGACATACATATCAAGTACACCCCAAAAACATATATTTAACAATTGAGTACCCCCTCAAGTTCTATATCCCCGGATAGCCTGGATCTGAGCATCAAACAGATCCGACGAACGCAGCCGAAATGCCACAAGGGTAAAATTTCGACCCAAAAGAGTTCCATGAAATCAGGCTGAGCGGTCAGTCTCCTTCGGGGGTACTAAATACAATAGAAATACCAAACAGAACTGTTCATGTGTATATTCAGTCTGTGTCCCTCGTTCGGGAGTTTGCTCCCACCGTACGCCTTCGCATTCTGACATATTTTCCCGAACTTCGATGGAGGAGGACGTTCCAGCGGTGTTCGCGCAGTCGAGTGTCCGATTTGCGTTCCATACACTCGACAACCAAACACCGCTGTATATGTTCACGGCTAAAGTTGGCCGCCGCCACTAGTTCGGTAATACGAACGATGACCACCCAACCGACTGTTGGAATGTTGCGGATTTGATGTGTTAATGAGGTGTTGATAGGGTTGATAGAGGTCAACAAGCAGCATATGGGTGGTCGGTCATTCGGTATTTTGTTCGGTATTCGAACAGGACAATGTTAAAATGGGAGGTGAATGCAATCCACCGAACAAACAGGAGAATGGGAAAAAAGCATTATAATCCAGGGACAGGGTGGTCTGCCACAGTGTGGAAACCTAACACTATACTAAGGGTGCAAGTACACGGAAACTACACATATAGTGGATTAGAGTGGGGACCAGCCACTCCTATCTGGGGAATACTTGTTCAACCAGTAGGGGGGCTCCCATCCCCACCCTGTTCTGGTGGAATGTAAGGACCAGAAAACACAGTACACTTATGTATTTACTTGATGTATTTGGTTATGTTTTTTACGTTAAGGTTATGTATTGTCTGTGGCTCAATTTGGTGATACTGGGGGAAAGAGTTTACACACGACTTAGGCAAAGTCCACTGTAGCAGCAACGTCCCGAGTCGGGAACAAAAGCCCACGCCTCTGACTACCCATGGCCCTTAAAGTTGACTCTCTTAATGTTAAGGGACTCAATACCCCCAACAAACATACACTCACGCTTTGAGAGATGAGGGCAAAGACTGCAGACATTGCACTCCTCCAGGAGACACACCTCCACAGGTCGGCACCCATCACATTAAGAGACAGGACATACACGACCTCATATGAGGCGAGAAATATCAGGAAAAAGATAAAGTAAAGTAAAGGATTTCCCTGTATTTACCTGTATCCATTCGGTTATTTCCTTTCCCTGCTAGTTAAGTGTCTTTAAAGCATTCGTTTTAATTCTGTGTTCGGGACATTTATTCGTTCTACCGAATGGAGACCACCCTGGGTAGCAATCAGAACTTAGAACACCAAGTAACCACGGAAACCGCAAAGTAATTGAGTGCTTTTAGGTGGCTGCCATTCGGCATACAAACACGTGGCGAGAACAAAGGATGGCGTCCATCTTAGATCTCACCAAACTCGGCCAGCGGGACTTACTTGTGGATTGCCTGGAACCATTTTTGGCATGGCAATAACACGAACATACGGTCTCCATGGAAGTCCCGTCTGATCTATTTCCACTCACAGTATCAGACTGGCGTTCGGGAGTTTCAATCAACCGAATGAGGGGAGCATTCACATGTAACCAGACCAGGTGGGATTCATTATTATTATTATTGCCATTTATATAGCGCCAACAGATTCCGTAGCGCTTTACAATATTATGAAAGGGGATTTAACTATAAATAGGACAATTACAAATAAACTTACAGGAACAATAGGTTGAAGAGGACCCTGCTCAATCGAGCTTACATTCTATAGGAGGTGGGGTGTAAGACACATTAGGACAGGAATGTGCAATCAAAAAAGGTGGGCTGCCCTTTAGGAGAGGGCAAGAGACGGGTATGTGAGGTAGGGGTTAGTCTTGGAGGCCATAAGCTTTCCTAAAGAGATGGGTTTTAAGGCACTTCTTAAAAGATGCAAGACTAGGGGAGAGTCGGATGGCGGTAGGCAGGCTGTTCCATAGGAAGGGAGCCGCCCGCGAGAAGTCCTGCAAGCGCGAGTTGGCCGTACGGGTGCGGACAACGGACAGGAGGTGGTCATGCCAGGTAGACAGCTATATGAGAACACCAGCAGGGGTGCATATCTATTGTGGCACATGAGGGAATCTGAGATGCCTTCTCTGGCTCTATCGTTAGATGCTGAGAAGGCGTTTGATAGATATAAATGGCCTTTCATCTTAGAACTGCTCCGCAAGATAGGCTTCCCGAACCCTTTTATCACCGCTATCAAAGTCTTATATACAAACCTGAGATCACAAACACTCATCACAGGAGCCCCCAAGGCCCCCTTTCCTCTGAGCAATGGTACAAGGCAGGGGTGCCCGCTCTCGCCGCTACCGTTCGCACTCACCTTAGAACCACTGCTCCATGCCATTAGGCCATTAATACGAGGTGTGGAAATAGCACACCACCAATTTAAAGTATCGGCATTTGCAGATGATGTCCTACTGACTCTCACAGATCTGATACTGAGCATGCCCAGACTTTAGACCCTGCTAAACCAATACGGAGACCTCTCCAGATATAAAGTCAATCTATCAAAATCCGTAGCGATACCTTTCCACTTGTCCGTCCTGCACAAGGCCACCATCAGACAGACATACCACTTTAGAATAGCGACAGACAAATTTAAATACCTAGGAATAAACCTGACCCTGCTTCCCTATTCAGGCGAAACTATTCCCCACTCTTTCACACCATCATAGGAGACATGGAGAAGTGGACAGAGAAACCTATCTCATGGACAGGGCGCCTTCATTCAGTCAAAATGAACGTCCTGCCAAGAATCTTCTTCATGTTCCAATGACTGCCCGTACGAGTTAACAGAGGGGACTTGACAAACATGCAAAAAGCAATTGACTCATTCATATGACAGAAAAACGACCCAGACTTGTCCATAGTCTACTATACCATCCCAAATCAAGGGGAGGACTAGGTCTCCCCCATCTATACTATTATTACCTGGGGCACAACTAACCCAAATCATACACTGGCACTCACCCCCAGAACGCAGGAGATGGGTAGACGTAGAATCCCTACTGACAGGGGCAGACCTACCTCAATTTTACATGTTGGTACCTTAAGCCCACAAGGCAATATTAAGAACTACGTGCCCAGTGGTACTTCAAGGGCAACAGGGCTCCAAAGATACATACACCTTTTTGTAAATAGAGACATAGTCACCTGTGACCACTTGCGAACCCAAGCCCCACTCTAGACGAGAGATTACTTTCGCTTAGGGACTTTGCACGTACCAAAGAGATCCGAGCAGCAGTGGAATGACAATTAACTTTTTTTGAGAAAACAACCCAGACAAAACTAATTATTCTACTTTACCAACATATAAGCTCAGAGTCAGGTGAATAGGGAACTCTCCGATACACAGATCAATGGGAGGCCAACCTTAAGGAGGTACTTGAGGGATCGGACTTGCAGGATATCTGGGAAGCATGTACCAAAGTATCCATGTGCGTAACATAACAGGAACAATGCTACAAAACGTTATTTAGGTGGTACACGACGCCGGTTAAACAATGTCATATGAAGTTGAGTCCCATTGATACCTGCTGGCACCTTTGCAGTGATAAGGTAAGCTATATACACATGGGGTGGCAATGCCCAAAAGTAAGGGAATACTAGGAAAGGTGGTGGACCTCAGCTCTCACGTTCTCCAACGGCGACTGGAGACAGACCATTGGGGGTGCCTTCTCTCCAGACCCACTGATGGCCTCAATAGACACGAACAAAAATTACTAAACATGAAGCATGAAGGGCATTGACACAAAAATGGGCAAATATTGCCACAGGTGTCCATAGTAATAGCAAAGATAAGGGACAACTACCTCATGGATAAGCTAACAGCACAATTCCGTAACACCACCGCAACTTTTAACAAGGTATGGGAGCTTTGTGAAGAATATGAGGTATAACTCCTTAGACATACGACCCTCGGAGATTCCCCCGCCTCATTCCCTCCAACCCAGATGCACGGTCGCTCCCGAACAAAGAGTAGAGACGCACCCCCCAGTTTTTGTTTTTTTTGTTTACATCATCCAAGTTATAAGGTTCTTAAAAAAAAAGTTAAATCTCTGACAGACAGGGCACAAGCTACTCACCACTGTAAGATATACTGCATGCATGTAACTCACATATTCTCTGTTCTGTAACATTTTCCCGATGATGCATCCACCGAACTAAGGCTTCTGTGAAAGCCTTCTAACATTGCAGAGTCTCAGTCTATGTCATTTCAAAAATAAAGATTTTAAAAAAACAAAACAAAATAAAAAACAGCTTTAGTTTAACCTAAACTATTATTTCAGCTTGGCTGTTTTGTTGTAACTTTTGCAATTCAGTCTTCAATTCAGCACAATTTACTGTTTACTAAATAACCCCCTGAATTTTATAAATTATTAATTCTTACATGGACAATGACAAAGACCCTCTAAACCACACAGATCGGATTCTATTACAATGAGGAATCGAAGGCAGGCACTGATTGGAGGGCACTGAGTGCCTAGATTGACGCTATCGATCAACACACACTTATTGCCCCGGGGTCAGTATTTTCCATTCCATTATTCTTTATTCCCTCCACCCCCCAGTGTTCCCTTGACATTACTGAGAAAACATGAATTATTATAAAGGCCTCAGAAACGGGACTCTCATGCAGCATGTATGAAAAGCAGTTTTGTATGAAATATTAATGAACCTCAGCCTATAGCATGATACATGTGAGTAAATGCATTCGTGTCTCCCTCTAGTGGAGGTACTGTACTTGTTTCTGTTGAGGAGAACAAGATTTTCAAGGGAACTTAGCATACATACATACACTGCCTGGCCAAAAAAAGAGTCGCCACCTGGATTTAACTAAGTAAATAGGTAAGAGCCTCCTATTGGATAGTTACTGCATGGGCGATTATCTTTCAGCTGGCATCAAGTTAGTTAACCCCAACTGATGCAATGAGTAGCTTCTCATTTCTTATATAACCATGTCGAAAGACACATCCCATGGTCGTGGAAAAGATGTTAGTCTGTTTGAGAACGGTCAAATCATTGGCATGCATCAAGCTGAGAAAACATCTAAGGACATTGCAGAAACTACTAAAATTGGTTTAAGAACTGTCCTACGCATTATTAAAAACTGAAAGGATAGTGGGGAACCATCATCTTCGAGGAAGAAATGTGATCGGAAAAAAAAATCCTGATTGATCGTGATCGGTGATCACTTAAAGGACCACTATAGTGCCAGGAAAACATACTCGCTTTCCTGGCACTATAGTGCCCTGAGGGGTTTATAAAAAAAGGGTTAACCCTAGCTGGACCTGGCACCTAGACCACTTCATTAAGCTGAAGTGGTCTGGGTGCCTATAGTGGTCCTTTAAGCGTTTGGTGAAATCAAATCGTAGAAAAACAACAGTTTAATAGTGTTTAATAGTGAAAGTAAGAGCATTTCCACACACACAATGCGAAGGGAACTCGAGGGATTGGGACTGAACAGCTATGTAGCCTTAAGAAAACCACTAATCAGTGAGACTAATCGGAAAAAAAGGCTTCAATTTTCTAGGGAGCATAAAGATTGGACTCTGGAGCAACATAGAATGTGACGGCAGATAAGAACCATTCGGCCCATCTAGTCTGCCCAATAATAAGAAGGTCATGTGGTCTGATGAGTCCAGCTTTACCTTGTTCCAGAGTGATGGGTGCATCAGGGTGAGAAGCAGATGAAGTGACGCACCCATCATGCCTAGTACCTACTGTACAAGCCTGTGGGGGCAGTGCTATGATATGGGGTTGCTGCAGTTGGTCAAGTCTAGGTTCAGCAACATTATGAGCTCAAAGAATGAGGTCAGCTGACTACCTGAATATATTGAATGACCAGGTTGTTCCATCAATGGATTTTTTTCCCCTCATGGCACAGGATTAATTGGGCTCAAATTGTGAAAGTGTGGGTTAGGGAGCATGAGACATCATTTTTACACATGGATTGGCCACCACAGAGTCCAGACCTTAACCCCACTGAATATCTTTGGAATATGCTGGAGAAGGCTTTGCGCAATGGTCCGACTCTCCCATCATCATTACAAGATCTTGGTGAAAAACGAATGCAACACTGGGCGGAAATAAATCTTGTGACATTGCAGAAGCTTATCGAAACAATCCCACAGCGAATGTGTGCCGTAATCAAAGCTAAAGGCAGTCCAACTGAATATTAGAGTGTGTGACCTTTTTTTTTTGGTGGCGGCTTTTTTTTTGGCCAGGCAGTGTATATACTGATCATGCACTGACAGCTAAAGTGAATAACATTGATTTAATCATTACGATAGCGCCTGTCATTGGGTAGTAGATGGCAAGTGAACAATCAGTTTTTGAATTTCATGTGTTGGAAGCAGTAAAAATGGACAAGCAAAAAGGTCT